TTATAGAAATTCTTAATAGTATTATGGTTGGCGTTGTACTAATTTTATACCTTTTAACGAACAAATAGTGCCGAATAGGTAAGAACAGTATTAACAATTTTATTTATTTAATAAGGGATGTACTTAGTATAAAACTTTTTTAAAATAGTAAATACGCTATCTATTTATTCGAAATCCTTTACTCTATAAATAGCTTTAAGTCTTTTAGTAAATTCTTCCTAGGTAGCGGTATTTTTAGCTTTAAAATTATAAAGGAGACCCTTACTAATATCCTTAGATTCTTTTTTATATTATTAAAGTTAAATATTGATTTTAAATTCGTTATTTCTAAAATTGTAGATGCCGACTTTTTCTTCGAATAATTCAATATATTTAGAAACTCTTTTTCTATTGAATTTTTTCTTTGGGAGAATTTTTCGAATAGAGGTAGCGTTATTTACAAGGAGGGCGGCAATAATATTAAGGGATACTTTACCCGGACGAATAGAAGTATTAGTTAAAGGAATCTTATTAGTAAGGGCGTTATTAGTATTAAATATAATAGTTAGTTTGGATTTGTAGGGATTTTAATAAGGAATTTATAACTTATAGTACTAGTATTGAAAAGCAATGCTTTTTTCTTTCTTTTTTAGTAAGGAACTGATTTAATGCTCCTTTTTAACTCTTTCTTCTTTATACAAGTACTTTAATAATTGTAATAGTTAATTTTCGGGGTCTTATATAGGTATTAATATCTAAGGGTTAAACGAGCGGTGTGACCGACGAATTAAAATCGCCGATACTACTTCTTTACCTACTTTATTAATTTTATAAAACGTTATTTATATTATTCTAAAAATATTAAACAAGGAATAGAATAATATAATTATTAATCCTATAATAATTTTAATAATTCGAAGCGCTAACTCTATATATAGCGTATAAGTATTTAAATACTAAATATTATTTAATAAAGGGTAAATTTATACCGACCCTCTTTTCGATTATTGTTCTTTATTTAATCTTTCTTTTTAAGTACTACTTAAAGTTTTTCTAATTTAATTTTATTTTCTTTCTTTATTATAATCGGTCCTAAAATTATAAAATAAAGGGTTTCTATCCTAGTCTTATAAGTATAATAGTTTAAAATATTTATAATTTACTATCGGTAAATTATAAATTAATTAATAAGGCGGAAATCCGGATATATCCGGAATTAAAGTTTCTATTAAATTAAGTAAGAGGCTCCTTTACCGGAAGAATTAACTAATTCTTTACTATTTAATTCCTAACGTTCGAACTAGTATTTTAAAATTTTTAAAATTAACCTTTACATCTTTAAGAATCCCTTTCTAGGAGCTTCTTAAATTCACATTAACTAATTTAACTAGGAATTTAAAACTCAATCTCATCCTTATTACTATTTAAAATAAAACAAAAACTATACTAATACGAAAAGTACTCTATTATACTTAAATATAGTAAGGAGCAGATCCAGAATTAAATATAGTTTTTATCTTTAGGAATTAAAATAAAGTAGTAAAATTACAATTTATTAACTACTACTAAAGACTAACGAGAAGGATAAAATTTTCCTTATTAATTTTAGGTTAATTAAATAGGTTTAAGAGTTAATTCTTTTATAAAAGGGTTACTAAGTTTACTATTATAAGGGCGTTCGATAGTAATTCTATAGTATAGGAGCGGGATTCTTTAATCTATTATTGAAGATAAGTATTATCTAATTTAGTCTAGAGTCCCTACCTTCCTTTCTCTTCTCGGTCGGGATCTCCTCCTTATATCCCCTTTCTACTTATTACATTCCTAGGGTCCCGTCCGACTAATATAACAGATCTGCTCCTCAATAAGCAATGAGCCAAGGCCTAGATACCTCCACCTATCATTTGAAAGCAAGAGCCTACAGCAAGGAAAAGAAGAACACACAAGGAAAACGAAAAAAGAACAAACGAACCACCCCACATCACTAGGGAGTAGAATATACGAGTATAGTAAATTAAATTACTTAGTAAATTTACCTATATATAGCTCTAACTTATTAGGGTTAAAATTCTAAATTAATAATATTATACTTAGAATAATATAATATTATTTAATAACTAACTTAAATATTTTCTAATATACCCAATACGGGGCCTCCCCTAACCAGCCCACATTAAAGTACCTTTATTAAATAAATCTTATCTCTTTATTATTATATTTATTAATTTAGCGCTTTATTATATTAAGGAGGCTGAAATTCTATATAATAATTCTAATAATTAGACTATTACCTATATATTACACGATAATTAATATATTATAAAATATATAGGAGGCAATACAGCTTAATATAATAAATAAGGTTGGGAATAGTACCGCTAATAATAAAACTCTTTAAATTTCGGTTAACCAATTCAATTAAAGATATAGTACGATAATTAAAATTAAATCTCTCATTAATATAATAAGTAGCCTACTCCTACTTAACTATTATATACATTTCTCTTAAATACGTAATAATTACGGTTTACTACCTAAAAAAATTCTCGAATCTCTCCTAAACAATATTAAATACTTCAATTATATAGGTATAATATATATGCTTCTAGAGATCGTAAAGACTAGTCCGTGAATATTCTATAGTATTAGGGAGAACGCCCAATTGAACCATACCAATCGCTAACTTATTCATACGTATAACAATATACTCATCCTCTTTATTAAGCTTATTTAAAATTATTACATTACTAGGTAAATACGTTAACTAGACTAACTAGGTTAATTAAGCTACTCGCTAGGTCGATACTAATATTTCTTACTATATCTATATAATAATTACGTCGGCGTAGACGTAGCTAACCCAGGCGGCGACCTTCTTATCCCATTTATATTTAATATTCAATACTATATTCTTATTAATATAAAAAATATATAATTAAAAGCGCGCATCTAAATAAACTCATTTAATAACCACCCTCATTACTAAATTGTAATCTATAATAGTAACAATCGGCTTACTAGTATTAATAATTTTATAACGAATATTAATTTAATTTATTAATTAATTAAATCCCTCTTATCTCTCATTATTAATAAAACTAAAGCTGCAATTAAAGGTATAGCCAACCCTAATTATACTAATAATTTAGAAAAAGGCTAAGCCTTTATTATTTATTTTATTCGTATTATTATATATTTAGACCCAAGGATTTTCCTTCTACATCTACTCTCCCTAAAAATTACTCTAAAAAAGGACAATTAGTTTACTTTTTTAAGAAGTATCTACTTAATTAACTTTAAAGTAGACCCCCTTCTCTATAAATAACTTTATAATTAATTAAAAGGGATTGTAACTTATATTAGCTTATCTCTTAAAGGTATAACGAAAGTTTTCTAATTATTTAATTATAAAATAAAGATCGGGAAATTAATTATATAATTATTTTATAATCTTACAATTCCTAGTAATAGGTTAGTTGAAGTACTATACAATAAATATTTTATATTCTATTTTAAAGATTCTATAAATTTATAATATTTTAGCGGGAGGATAGGTATAATTATTATAACCATTTCTAATCTCAAAGGTCTACCGTCTAAAATTCATCTTTAGCACTTTAATAATTCCTTTCTAAGAATATCCCCGTTTAACTATTAATATTAAACGGTTATAGATAATCGAAGGACGAATTTTACTAACTAAATATATAAAATCAACCCTTATATAACTAAATCCTTTAATTAAATTACTTGAATATATCTTAACTAATTAGTAACCGAACTCTATACCCTACTCCCTAATTACTTTAAAGAATTTATTAAGGGTATTATATTAAATCTTAAAAACAATATAACAATTATTATAAATACCATTACCATCGGAGTCACCGCTATTATCATTATCATTATCAATCTCCATAGGTTAAGTAGAGGTAGGCTCAATTAAGGTAATATTTATTAAGGGTCTTAATTGTAAGTTAATAAAGTTAATATCAATTATTTAATTAGGGTAATCACCCGTACTACGGTCGTACATACCCGTCGGCTAGGGTGTCGTTACATCGGCCATTTACATTACAATTAACTAGAGAAATACATTAAAAAATAATACATCAATCCGTACCATCGACCAAATACAAGCGCTTTATTTATTTTAATAATATTTAATAATGTGCGGGGTAGTAGATTAATTGAATACAACGTAGTAATAATATGTATAGTTTATTATAATAGAGGAAGTAATATAATGAAGTATATGTTAAAATAATCGCTAAATTAGATTAAGCTAGCTAGTGCAGTACGAAGGTAGCTAATACAACCCCCAAATAGGTGTAATAGCTTAAAATCTAGGAGCTTGGCGGGCGTAGTACGAGCGAGACTGGTGCGGGTCGGTGGTGGGTGTGCAGGGTTAGGGTTATGTATGGGCAAAAAGGTGGATCCCCGTGCGAATAGAGTTTCTTCCCCGTGCGAATAGAGTTTCTCTAAAAGAAAGCAAGTGACAGTTAGTTCATGATGACCAACCAACCAACCACCCAAGATTGATCACGCACCAAAATTCAAGACAAGGGGTATATCCATCCTCCCACCTGCTTACACCATGCTAACAATATCAGTGTGAGACAACGACTAAAAGAATAAACACTAAAGTAATAAGCACTCTGAGGAAGCGGATACAGAGCCATTAACCCAGCACCCCTTAGATAAGAAGTAGGTTATGGATAATAGGTCGAACCAAGCAAGGTAGCAATGTTAAAGCTAGGTACATAAGTCTGTGGTTTGTAATGTAGTGTAGTGTAGTGAGTGTCTCCATAGCTACTTCTCTCTCCCGTGCCCCTAAAGCCCCTTTTCACCTAGGTCAATATACCAACACCGTTTGACCAGTATTCTCTTGCCGCGCATCCCCTTGTCTGTCGAAGCTCATGTGAGTACCCTACCCTGCTGCCAGCAAAAGAGGTTCCTCCTCTCTGTCCCCAGAGCTTCATCTCCTCCAACCTACCGAAAGGGCAACTTCACCAGGGCAGCAACGGAACGAAGCACCTCCCCTTCACATACACGTCCACACCCTTGTGTGTTCGGAGACTTTTTTTGCCTTTTACTTCTCATCCTTGCCCTTGCTCTGATCTTGTTGACCCTTGCCGTTGGCGTTGCCTTGGCTGTCTTGGCCCTGACCCTCGACAACCTCCTCCTCCTCCATGGAAGCCAACAGTTGATCAAGGGTGTTCTCCAGTCTAGTCAGACTAGCTTCGAGAGTCGTGGCTGTTTGTTCGCCTCTGTATTCGCCAGAAAAAAGATTTGTTCAAAAATCAGTAAGTGTTCACACCAATAATCAAGTCAGGCAGTTTCAATTTCGAACAATTCGACCGACTCCGTAAAAGCGCGTATGCTCGTATATGAACCACTCATAATCAAGTCTTGGTAGATAGACCCAATGACTTGTCCGGCCGCCTGCGGTTACGGCTTGAACAGGGATACATGACAATAGTATGAAGTATAGTGTAGGGTAGTGTGATGAGAATAGTGTTAAATGCATGGACGAGGAAGGCAGCGGGCAGAGATAGATCGATGCCGACATAGGGCTTCCCTTGTAAAAATCGATCATATTACATCACTCGAACTCGACTGCAGCTGATGACATTGGCGTGTTTTCCAACTATCAAAAGCGTCTGTCGGTCGCCGGAGCAAATGTGATCACGATGCTTGACAGTTGGAGGAGGCGAGAAAAAAAATAAAAAAAAATAATAATAATAAAAAATTAAAAATAAAAGACGGGAGAAAAAAAAAACCATGCTCATGTGTGTAGTTGGGATGTTTATTTTTGTCCGTGTCCATGTCCCATCGTCCACCTCGAGGCTGTATCCCCTGACCAGCTGAGCAGCTCAACCTAAAAGCTTGCCAATTTTTTTTTTCTTCATCCTCTCCTTTCGGCTCCCGAACAGAACCGGAGAGATGCCAAATAGAGAAAGCGGATGGGGTTTGAGGTGATGATGGTGGCAAAACCTTTGGCCATGAAAGGCCAGCACATATTCAAGCCTAACACCTTGCTCTCTAGCCCGTACGTCCCGTGTCCAATAGTGCCCCGGGCCCAAGAAAATTCCGGACCGGGAGGACGTCCGAAGACCATCGGGGGGATATCATAGGATAGTGATAGACCGGAGGGAGTTACCGACGGAGCACGGGGGAAGGTGGATTGAAACGAAACAATGCTGCACAGTGCCAATACCATGAGCCCCGAAGCAGCCATGAGCTGAGGCCGACATAGACTACACGTGTAGTAACGGCGGGATGTGAGACAAGGATTGCTGCTAGATTTGCAGTTGTTGGGAACGACCGATGAGATTGCACTCTGGGGTATGGACCGGGGAATTGGATGGGAAAGAGGACAATGGGGTGTGGTGAGGGTGGTCATGTGTCTGCGTAGCAAGTACATGGACGGAGAATGAGGTGGTAGTGGCGATACGGTACCGTGCGGATGGGCACTTCCAAGACTGGCCGGACCGGAATGTGGCCGGGGAAAGACGACACACTATCGGCATCGGCGCCTTGCGAGTTCGAGGCTCGGATGGACTCTCAAGATTGATGTTCTCGAGACGAAATGAAACTTTTTCACTTTCACATGGTACCGACCGGAGGCTCCGTACTTGGTACCAGTTACCTCGAAAAAAGGAGACCTTTCGGGGTCCAGTGCTGGGTCCAAGGTTCTAGGCCTTCATGTCTAGATGCGCTTGCATGAACCTGTGTGATGTGGCTGTGACGGGTGGGGAGTGCTTTTCCGTTGCAACTCGGGCAATGAATCTCTGGTAAAATCTGCTTAAACGCCGTGCTTCATGTGGGCTTGAACGCCAATGGAGACACTTGCGCCCGCTATTGATCTGCTAGATGGCCTGTCCGAAGCACGACACGTTCGAGGCTCTGGGTCCGGTCCCTGGAACCTCATGCAGCTGAATCGGACCCTTCCTCCGTAGCCTCACCATGAGCAGCGTTCCTTTGAGAAGCAAGGCGGGGGAAAAAAAAAAAGAAAAAAAAAGCAAGGAGAGGAGATGATGTGCAATGAGACAAAACACCTCACATTTGATTCTGGGTCTGGGGAGCATGAGACCCTGAATTTTCCCTGGGGATTGGTCCCTATACGCATCGCCATGTCTGCAGATCCAGCGGGGATTTTGGCATTTGCGAGCCGGACAGCAACAGGAGCGAGAAAACGATGAGGGTTCCGAGACACTGTCACACATCCAAACCCAAATGAAGGGACAGACAGATGTGAGATGAGATGGCCGCTTGGCTGTTCGGGATGCCGGCATGGCCATGGCCCATGGGGATCTTGCTATGTGTAGAAATGGTAAAGATGGATGAGACACGAGAAGCGAAAATGCCATGTCATACCTAGCCAGGTCTTTGAGGGCCTAGAACGTCAAGCCCAACACCGAGCAAGTGGTCAGCAAGAAAGATCATGCAGGACGTCAAGATGAGGCTGTGATAGAGATAGAGGAACGGGAGCTCAAGACAGTGCCGAAACGGACGGACATAGGGCTGGATCCCGAAGGTCCATCTTCCAAAATTCTCTGTTTTGTTTACACTACTACTGTGTTGTCGGCATGTTGTTGTGGTCTTGTCTCTCTGCAATGTAAAGGAGATAGTATGGCGGGGTATGGAGATGGAGATGGGGGGCAAAGATGGAAACCCTCACCTGAGCAAAGTGATCTCCAAGCGCGGCAGATACCATTACTGGAGACGTTGCTTGGCCGTTGCTCTCTTCGGTATCCTGTCCGGCGGACATGTTGCTGGACTCTTCTCGTGTCATGTCGTTGATGGAGTTGCTACCGCAGCGTACAAAGGTAGTGTAGGTTGTCGGGTGTTTGGTTGATGACGGTGGAGACGCAGTGCCGGCATTGCTCGACAACCCGACAGCGGCTTGCAGTGAGTGTTGGTTGTGTCTGGCCGGCGTTTTGTTACCGTAATTACATACATGTAACTTACAGGATACCGGGCGGCAGTGCGTGGAAGGAACGGCCGGTGATTAACAACCGACAGCCGGACTAGTTGGTTTTGGTAAAGCGCTGATTGGGCACGTCGGTGTTCAATGAGGAAAACCCACTCTTGTCGAATCTGATAAAGATGCAGAAATTCAGGTGAATCCACGGGAAATCTGCTGAAGCCCACAAAAACCCACCCGCTTGCGGTCGACTTTGGGGATTTTACGATGAGTGATCCCGGGGCAACTTGTAGACGGTACACTACTTGGGACGTCATGGACTTTAATATGCTGGTCCCTCTTTCAGCTCTTGGCAGTTCATGACACGCCTTCCAGCAGACGGCAGTCAAGCCAAGTGAGGAAGATTTGGACAATATCAGTAGAGATCTGTAGTTGTACATAGCTACCTAACGCGTTGAAGTTGTCATACAAGCTCCGTAAACTCTATCTCTCCCGTCGCTTGTTTCTGATGCTCAGTGTCGAATCGGACAGCGGACTGACATTGCATGTTTACAGCATAGCACCCTAGCCGCCGGAATAGACGGTTGGAGACGGCCAAGTGTCGTCTGCCTGCTGTCTTAAAAGTCAGTGTTCCGTAGCTGAAGGTAGTAGGGTACAACTTTGTGGTTCGGATGATGCTAGTCTCGTGCGGTATAGTGTACCTAGTCATCAGGGACATTGTGTGGAACATCGATACGGGGCCATTCACTCCCCTTCCCCGGCGGCTGATTATATGGACGTCGTACGATATGTGCATGCGATGAGGCTACGGGGTACTACGGGGCTAATCGCCGGGCGAGAGCGAAAAAAAAGCGAATAAACTGTTTGTCCAAAGACAATACGAAAGGGGATCAATCCGCTCTAGTGGTAAAACACTTTTCCATGTCGCGTCTGTTGCTTGTCTCGCTTTCCGACTTGTAGATTCTGACATTGAGAACGTGTATGTCGGATAGACAGCTGCGATGATCGTCATTCGTCTCGGCTCACTGAAGCCGAACACGACAAGGCTTCTTCTGGAAGGAAAAGGAGAGGAGCTTCTCGGGTCGGCGTGGGCGATCGGGTGGGCCGGGGTGTGAATTTGGGTTGAGGTTGGCAAGCCGGCGACCTCACCTCGGGCCAAAACGGCGAATTGAGAGGATATGAAAGAAGTGGCGTGGACGTGGCATCGACAAGCTGGTGCGGTGCTGGGTCTTCCTGGCTTTGCTTGATTATAACCCGGATAATGACGCGCAATCTGTCCCCAATTCCAGCAACGAGTGGTGAACAAGTGGTGGTTCATGTAACTGCTATAGTACTAGTGTGTCGTGGGTTTGTCGAGTCCCACCCTATCGACCTTCAAGCGTGTCCCACAAATCATGGAAATTGGATGCAAGATTGAGAATACCTAAGCCACACGCGCTCGGTCCGCCTGCCCCACAGGCCACAGACTGCCACTTTACCAGATTGGCTTGGTCTGCCGCAGGCGCAGTAGGTACCGCCAGATCCTGGACTTGAGGCATTCACGTTCTAGACTTTCCTGTGATCATCCAACTGAAGAACTTCCACTTGGGCCGACCGATGACAGGAACCACCGCCATCACATCACCACCTCCCTGTGACTGCATCATCAACCCCTATTGTATCAACGGTTATAGACCGACCTGCTAACAGGATGGGGGCCTGGGGCCCTTTTATGGAGATAACGGTACCGCTGTACAGCTGATCCACCGCGTCCGGATTGCTTTTACATAGCGGCAGCAAAACCGTTGAAGCTTGGAGAACCGTATTCGGTACATCCGGAGAGGGAGATGGATGGATGCCCCAAGTGAATCGCCCATGATGGCTCGGTGCAATTCGGAATGGTCTTGGAACAAAACGCAAGTTTGAAACTGAAAGACGGGTTTGCTTACCTCTACCGTCGTGTACACTACAGGGACCGGGCGAGAATCGGTAAAACATCGCTAAAATAATGGGGACGTGTTCCTAGTGTATATTGGCCCGGCGCCAGCTCCGGCGCGGCGGGGGAGGGCGACGTGCCCACCGACCCGCTGGGTCCCGCTGGGTCGACGACGGGTTTCCAGCTGAGTACACCATGGGCTGATCGCCCTGAATGAAGCTTCCCTGTTTCATTCAGCCCTCAAAAAAAAACTGGCCGAGACATGGTCCACGGTTGCTTGATAAACCGATTGCTATGATTATGTTCGATCCATCACCGAAAGAAAAATGGCATCCGGAGCTCCGAAAAACGTCAGTATACTACACTACACTGCGACACGCAATCAGATGAATTGCATGATGAATGATTCTCGGTACCTACCCTAGCCACAGCTAGGTAGTGTGAAAGGTCTGTTTGGTAGCAAGCGTACCTCTACTTGTAATGTTTACGATTAACCCTGGCTCGTATGTTAGAGGGGTACTTGTAGAGGAGTGTTTTACTGATAGTAATGTCCCACGTTAATGCAAAAACCCCCCTTTTGCAAACATATAGAAACTGGCCCATTACAGTTGCAACCCCCCCAGTTACTAAAACCCCATATATTGTATCGCCAGCTGGCTGCTAGAACTAAAATCCTATACTGGGACTGCTAACTGCTAATTGCAACGCTGCCCGGCCAGAATTGTAATACTAGGGGGGGTTAACAAGGGGTTTCTGGTATAGGTAAGAGGTGGAGTAAGCACTTACACCCTTGTGTTGGGGCCTGACGACCCACTTTTCTGGTCCGTGGGCGGCCTTTGAGTGGCTTGGATGTTTACTTCTGATCTGTGCGCTGGTTCCCCCTCCTGCAACTACCCCACTTATTGCAACAAAAACCACTGCCGGAATGGAGTTGCAACTGCAGGGGTTTTTACTGTAGATGCAATCGATTTCTGCGGCCCGGCTTCCCAGTTTTGTATGTAATTGAGGCACTCCCCTAACGGCACAGCCGCCCCTAAGATGCTAAGAATTCGAGTCGTCCCCTATAGTGCCGCATTTAGTTGCACTAACAGGGGACATTATTCAAGATAGCTAGGCGGGACTGTAGGCATGTATAGCACCCACTTGGCTTTTGCCCGCCATGAATAGAGTCAAATTTTGGTGCATGTGTGCGAGACATGATCTTTCCCTTGTTGTTCTTGACCCTTGCTTTGGGGGTGGTTTGGACCAATGCGATCGCCGGAATCCCTTGTCTTTCGCCTTGTCCGATGAGGTCGCAAGTCTGGAGCTAACAAACAGACCAAAGTGAGTGTGCATCTCAAAGACCAGAATCACACCGACGAAATGAGAGAGCAATCAAAAAAGGAAGAGAGACTCGCATCATCTCTATACCTACTCAATTGGGCATCGGCAGGCCCATGGACAGGCGGAACTTGTGGCAGCCGAGCAGACGAAGAGATAGTCGGATGGAAAACCATGACAAGATGCCAAACCTCGTGGGCTTCGAACATGACTGTGACCATTAACGACCTGTTGACAGATAAAATGGCGGGGTGGTGTTCGATTCGAGTGCTCGATTGCCAGGCAGAACATCGATTCCTGAATCCGGCGATGCACCTGGCGATCGATGACCAGTGTGTGGTGTTGGGCCATTTACACGGCACAGCATGTCCTAAGGTGACTGCAAAGCCTTTTTGACAGGGGAAACCAACGAGATGGCAACGCCAGTGGTGCAGCGCAGTGCAGCATGCTTGGTGTGCAGGATGACGTCCAGCGGGTGACAAGGAAGCGTATGAGACATTCAACTTCAAAACCCAGGACGGAACCATTCCGACTCCCCGCTTCCTGTCTCACTCGTCGGACAAGGCCAGAAACGGTTTTTGAATTCGCAACAAGGCGCCAGAATCCCCCGATGACCGGTATAGTGTAGAACGCCGATCAGGGTATTGTACACTACTAGTGTATGATACCGACACCTCTGCCTGGAAGAAAAAGTTTAGCGAGGTACGTCCATCTGTGTCACAGTATTTGGAAGCGAGGAAAACGTCCATGTTTTGTATGCAAAATAAAGTAATCGCCACCTTGCCATTCAGCGCGCTAACCTCTTTACATCCCGGCAGAGGTTTGCAGACACGGTCGGATAAGACAATCTAGTGCCCCCCTTACGTACCTCTACCGGTACCTGCTGGCTGACTGGCTCGCGTGCTGCACAGGGCAGGAGTAGGGCATCGATCGATTGTGAATGAATGAAGTGAGAAATTGAGACTTTTATTAGAAACAAGCATATGTGCCATGTCTGACGACATGCATTGTAACTGCAGACTTGACAAATGTGTGGACGTGAAAAGAGAAGAAGGGGAGAAGAGAATGAGGTCGCGAACTTTTTGACACGGCCAAAGCCCGTATTGTCCATGCTACTATGCCATGCGGCTTAACACAGTGAGGTTCGTTGTTGCAACTGAAGGTGACAATGTCAGCTGCAACCACAGGACAGCCGGGAACCGCGTTGGCAGGATGCTAAATTCGGCTTCCAAGACCGCTGAAGAACAATGGCACTTTCCAAGCGAACAACTAAGGTATCTTGCACTCTTTAACAGTCCAGTCCCGGTCACGGGGAATTCCCGCGATGCCGCTTCGCCCGTGCAGGCTGCGGAATTTCAGGCCACTTTGGGGGAAAGAGGTGGAAAGGGGCGCCTTGATTGGCTGGTCGGCCCGTCAAAACCATCATAATCGTACGACCGTTTTCCATGTGTACTGCGGTACCTATGCTGTTCGATAACGATCGAGATCCTTTCTGCCATTCTTTCCCTCTTGGGTTTTCCCACTCTCGTGCCACTCCGCCCATCACAAGCTTCGTTCTGACTTGCACTTGTTGGGCTTTGCGCATCTTGAATCCTCTTATGGAATGTTTCATTCCAAGCTTTGGAACGGGGAGTGATGGCATTCGCGCCCTGGAAGGACTCAATCTCATAGGTGAACGGTGAAAAGCCGGAGGTTTTTTTTTTTAAATGGGACTCGGCTTGAGCGTCAGGGCAGTCCTCTGACCGACAGGGACCTTCTTGGCTCTTCAAGCTCTGACAGGGATACTGAACTCGGTGGCTCCCGTACATACTTCGATGGCCCTCGATGAAAGCTTCTTTCTGCCCTGACACCCACAAGTCACCGCCCATCGATGGCCCTGGCTGCCCACTGCAGCCTACCAACACTACAGTTTGAGCTGAGGTCGCTACCACAGTCCAAGCACGTTTGTAGCACCGTCAAACCCGTTACAGTACCCAAGATACCGCACTATGTTCGGGTGAAATCCGGGCGGGCGCGTGTCCGACTCCCCTCCATCTGTTCCAAATACTTAGCCCCATGGCGGCTGAGCCAGTTGCAGGACATGGTGTACGGGAATCTCGGCATTTCCATGGCTTGTAAAAGGCCGATATTGGACAATTGCCCATCCAGAAACCAGGCCCAGATGGAAGAATCGTGATCGGAATTCCAAGCTTCAGGATCACGATGTCTCCTTTACCAGGGGCGGTTTTACCATCACTTTGACGCTCCTCGTACCAGCTACTGTACTCACATCTCTCCCAGTTCGGCAGCGACATGCTTAATGACGAAACCACGGATGGTGATCGAGATATCCGACGGTTACATATGTCGACGGATCATCCTAGAACAAAGCTACACACAACACTATTAACTACACTAGAGAGACTAGCAACATGGAATCATCATGAAATTCCACATCTAAAAGTGCATCCTAGCCGATGAAGTCGAGTTGAAGAAAACCAACCGGGGCAGCAAATACGGACTCGTTTGCAGTTTATGGTAGAATACACGCGCACCTGATAATTGGACATCTGTGGAACGATGTCCGTCCCCGGTCTGACTTGGTCTACATTGCTGACCTTCAAACACGCCTCTCACCGTCATTTTCTTTGTGTGGTTTTGATGTTGAATATCTTGACTCCTAGTGACGTATCTGATACGGCTACAGCCTCGTGATATTGGTTGTCCACGCAGAGACGCCCTTGACGCCGTCACTGCAGTGATAACAACTGGCAGCTGGAACTCCCCGACTCGAATCCGGTCACGACCCGCATGCCGAGGCGTAGGTGCATGTTAGCAAGCTGAACTGCAAGCACTAAAAAATGAGCCCCATCAGGGGGTTGGTGAGGGGAGGTTAGGCGGTTGTGGGGGAGGTTGCAGTCTTTTGGAGTTTCGGCTCCGTTACAGGCGCGCGCGCACTGACATCCAATAGTGCGTATGCACCTACCAAGCAATTCCCTTTGCAGCTACCACATATCCTGACGTCCAACGGGTACATACTCGGTACCTACCTACACTCTGTGCCAGGTTCAGGCAACGGGGCTGAGAAGCATCCCGACGGTTGTCCTGGATCGACATTTGCAAATTCGATAATAATCTCGAGATGCAATTTTCTCGCATACGACTGACTGCACTGAAGCAATAGCACCTCCAAATAGGTGGAAATCACGACAGACTGAGAGAAAGAACCCGCCGGGTCCTCCCCCTCCCTCTTCCCTCCCCCCCTCTTCTCCTTCGTAACTCGAAAAGGGAAAGGATCCAGACCCGCCATGCCGAGTTGAGCAACCGGGAGCGAGGAAAGCGGAGCCGCCACGAGTTCCAAAAGAGTCGTCGATTCTTCTGGAGAGAGTTTAGTGCCTGTCTCACGGTTGACCCAAGTACCGTGTACACTACATTTTTCACCTGTCTCTTGCCATCCCGGGTAGGCAAGCAAGGTCTTCAATTTCTCTCTCTGTTCATTACGATATGTATTTTGTCGGTGCTGTAGTAGTGTACGCGAGGCTCGCAACGGGAGGTACCTCACCCAAGTGCCCAGGAGTCGATTTGGAGTTGCCCGGCTGGAGCTCCATTTTCGGCTTGGTGCCCACGATGAGACCAGGAAGAGGTCCTCTTGTAATTGTACACTACTGTAGACGACTCGGCCACTGTCCATGGGCAACCCAGAGCCCACATGTTTTGTACCGGGTACCACGTACCATGTCGACGAACGGGCTCTTTCCAGTTCACTTCTTACAAAATCCCACTCTTTCCCTTTTCCCCCTGCCTGCCTGGCCGCCCACCTTGCCCTGCTCCTGCCGCACCACCGCTACGCCCTGGCATCTGCATCTACCTGGCGTCAAGCTGGAGAGTCTCGAACACTCTGTTCATGCACTCCAACCCTCTCGGTACTTGACTTTGCCCATTTGTCCCTTCCTTGTCGACCTTGTCTCTGCAACTTGGACTTGCCAATTAAGATTCCCGTCAATCAATATCCGTCTTTTTCTTCATTTCGAGGTTTGCTCCTCCTTCCCCATCTTGAACCTCCGACGTACCTCGTCAGCAGTCACACTCAACCACTTTAACTTGCAGCACATCGCTTTGCTGCTACCACCTCGCATCGAGATATCAACCAACATCGAACCTTGCGACCACCACTTCTTGGGAAATCCGGATCACCATCCACGGTTTCGGTCACGGTTACCCAGAAGAGAGACGGAGATCAAAGACATCTCACAACGTCAACTGAACTCAAGAACACAAGGTAGGATGCTGCCACGGCTCCCCTCCCCCCTTCCCCTTTTGCTTTTCCAACCTAAACACCACTCCCCCCCTCTCCCTCGCTTCTTCACTCCTGCGGGTTTCACGGAGCCAAGAAACAAACAAATACATGTCCAATTGCGCGTTCGGAGTTGGTGGAAATGCACCACGGCATCATCAGCATGTTCGACATACCACTCTGTCCTGCTCCTGCTCTTTTCCCCTGTGCGTCTACATATCGCAGACGCTTCCGAATGTAACCGCCCTGTACGGCGGCAACCTGTTCCCCTTGACTTGATCCATTCACCCCAACATGCGCACGGTCTGCTCTTACCGTGACGACAGTCTAGCCAGGAACCCACACACACACATACACACACATACACTTTGACAGTGGATAGGAACTGCAATGTCTTCGGATACAGTACAGACAAACTCGCCTAGGCTATCAAAAAGCCTTGGTGGCTGAATGTATGGTACATGTATCTCGTGATACCCATTTCCCCGTCCACTTGGCATGGGATGTGCACACAGTGTCAAGCAGCAGATCTCTTGCCTTTTTGAAGATTCCCAATGATCCCCAATGTAGTGCATGGGGGCGAGGTTCCGCCGTTGGCTGCTCAGGGGTTTGTTCTGGTTACCCGAACGAAAGACGGGACCCAGGCGGCTCTGGGGAAAAAGAAGTCGGAGGCACTTCATCTCAAACTCCCCAAGAACACTTCACCATCCTTTGATGTGCATTGAGGGTGGCATCGCGCCGCCCGAACTTTGCACGCCTGGGGAAAAGTCTGGCTTGAGAGAGAAGAGTCTAGGAGCTTGTGCGGTTGTGGTCGAGGCTGGCGTGCTGCTCTCACTCACAAAATTCCGAGAGAGCTTGACAAAGTTCAAAGTTGACTTGATTGTCCACTCGCCGTTTACACTGATTTGCCGCTGACGTGGATCCATGCTGATAGATCTCTCTTCAGACAGCTGGAAGCTCCATCTTCTTCAAAAGCCCCTCCCAAGCGAAATCCCCCTTGTCAGCACTTGTGGGCCAAATTTCTGTCTTTGAAGTCCTGAGCTTCACCGTCCACTCACTCCTCCACCGGCGACGCAAGAAGCCTTGAAAAGAGCTGAAATAATCTCAATTCCACCCTTTGCTCATCGCCTGTGGCTGCCCCGCTAGGTACCTAGGCCACTGGTACAAGTATGTACCTCCCCCATTCCCTCTCGCCCGGTAGCTGTATCAGAGCCGAACCCATGCCCGTGCCGATGTCGTACCACGCGAAGACTTCCTTACCTGTCTTCTGTGCTGGGGTTGTCATCGAGATCTCTGCCCTCACCCCACCAGCCCAATGGGTCATGGCTCCATGAACTCCCGTCATCATCTGGATCGCGTCTGGACTTTACCATTGACCGAGACTCTTGTTACAGATATACCTACCATTTTCAGCACCTTGCTTGCAGTCTCTCAGCGCACTTTGTCTTTCTTCATGATCAGAGAACTGTGACACTCTGCCCAATATACCAAGTCGAATTACCTCCAACCATCCAAGGAAGCCATCATCACCACCATTAATTATTCTTCTTCTCCCTCCCGGAAGCTTCATCAATAGCCCGATCTGCTTCTATCCTTCACGGCCTTGGTTGCGGTTTCTTTTCTTCGCTTTGATTCAAAAGCTCACGCCATACCCACCACAGCAATTCATCCACACGAACTCGGCACGGCGACAGAAACCAGGTCTCTTGTCGCTCGGCCACCTGACGACGACTTTATATCCGATCTATTAATTCATCCATGCACCTGGGGAATAGTTGGTTTTGTGGCAATCAGGCATCCATACCATCAACCGCTTTTGGAAAAAGCTCCCGTTGAGCTTCGGTGCAGGGATCTTCTAGGAACTTCGACTTGTCGGTGCACCATGCAGCACAAATCACACCAATTGGACTCAATGGCGCAACAATTAACAGTCATCTTTGGGGAGTTGGGGATCAGTCAGTATCTCGATGCGTTCGTTGAGCAGGGTTTCGACACATGGGAGACTATTCTCGATATCACGGAATCTGACCTGTAAGCATCTTGTTTTGGACTTCCACGAGCAGGATGTTGGATGTTTGACTAACACAGCTGGTCCATCAGCGATGTCCTA